TCCACTTTCAAGCTGCTTTATTTAAACACTAAATACCTGGGGTTTTAGACCTTCATACAGTTCTTAATAGCATTAAAACTATTGACCAGTTTGCTTTTCTTTGTACAAAACCCCTTTGCCTCCAAAAACTGAGGACAACAAGTGACCCACAAAATCTCTGAATATTCTTGAAGGCAAAAACTTCACAGGATAAAATTTTACTCTAGGAGTGATAGTTCCTAGGTTTGATTCATTGCAGAAGTTAAACTTCACTTAGGGGATAGGTTGCTACTTTAAAATATAACTAAAGATTCAAGAGTTTCTCCTTGGAGAAAAGAAATACCACCCTTGGCTGCTAACATAAAATTGGCAGTAAACTTTCCATTTTACTTTCTTTGTACCCAAGGGAGCTGAATTGTTGAGAGTGGAAGGACAACAGAACAATTTACTTAACGAGGAGCTCTGAGATTCAAACCCAGAGACTCCAGACACTGTAAATACGTTCTCATTGCTCCTTACCTTGTAAATATTTGAATCTCATCCTGGGTAAAAAACAAATTAGGCTTCCCAGAGACAGATCATGGAGAAGAGAAACAGCTTCATTGATACCGTCAAAAAAAAGTTAGTGTGTCCTGTTCATTGTTGGTGAAAAAAGACAGAAAAGAAGAGGAAAAGTGGGTACGAGGTCTTATTTTTTGAGGAAGTAACACTTACCACATTTGTTAGGAAGGTGAACTCCCTGTACTTTGAAGGCTTTTAGTGTCTACTGCAGCCAGTTTTTCCAGACCTCCTTCTGTTTCTTTTCTGTCGTTCTGGATTCTAGAGTCTCTGTCCAGGAAGTGTTGGAAACGTCCATTTCTTGAATATGCTATTAATACTGAGAGCCTTTTAATCAATGAGTTTTGACATGTTTGTTTTATCTCTCTCACCAAACATCACTTCTACATTCTCTTCTATAAATTACAGATTGTTGTTAGATTTGCTACAGCCAGTAATTTATCCATTACCTACCTGGTGAACATGTGTTAGGTAGGAAGTATTGTCTATTTTAAGGAGGTCTGGGGGTGCGGAGGTTAAAGATTCATGTTGCTAACCAAAAGGTTGGAAGTTCAAAACCACCAACCACTCTGCAGAAGGAAGATGAAGCAGTCTGGTTCCATAAAGATTTGCTTATTTATTTATAAAGATTTACATTTTTTTTCATCAAGATTTTCTCTTGGGCGAAGTCACTCTGAGTCAGAATAGACTGAATTGCAGTGGGTGTTTTGGGTTT